AATCCGTGGCCCTGTCATTCCAATTCCTGGACACTCCTGCTCCACCTTGGGGCGTTCATTCCACTCCGTGGCCTCTCATCCCTGTCCCAGAACACTCCTGGCACACTCTGGGGCTGTCATTCCACTCCGTGGCCTCTCCTTCCATCCCCAGAGTAGTGTATTTGGGCCCAGAGACCCTAATGGAAAATCCATTCCGCATTTTTATTGCAACTCTACTTGTACTCTAATGTTTTCTAATGGAGCCCATGCAAGTCAATTGTTCCTGGCTCCCATTATTTCCAATGGGTCTTCCAGCGCCTCCCATTGTTTCCAATGGGCAATCCTGTTTTTAGTACATCCCTCTCACGGTCACCTGAAGCAGAAAATTATTTTGATATACAATCAGGCCCCCTTCCTTCTGCCACATCTTTTCTCCCCCCCCTCCCCCATTCTTGTTAGGAATAAGTCACATAAGTCAAACCATCACATTTTTATACAAAATCAAAATGTTTGTTTATGAAGTTGAAATACAGCTGTTAATCCACTTTCCTACCTGGACAACATCCCCCCCCCCCCAAAAAAATCCCTAACTACATAGATTCCTCCAGCAGCATCTTAAAAACACTATTTATAAATGCCAGAGATTTTAAGAGAACTACTCTTAACAATAACCAAACCAGTGCGCAGCTTTTAAAAAAGGGTGCTGGGATGGAACCTTGCCCGGCAACCAGCAGGTCTGCTCTGGAAACCGAGCGGATACATCTGAAGTGTGTATGGCGGCAGTGAAGAACAACCACTCTGCACATGGACCCAAGCAACCGTCCTTGTTTCTTCCCATATGCCCACCAGAGTATTGGCCACGTCGGGATTTAGTCTCCGCAAGAGGCCCAAAGTAAACCATCGAACTTCTGTACCGAAGAAATAAGCCTCATTTGGACTGAGAGTTAGAGCAGCGAAGATTTGCCAAAGTGGCATCGCAGGCACACTTCCTCCTCCTTCGGTCTCATTTCTTTTCTCACCGGGCCTCTAACCCATCCCCGCCCTCCCCATCTCCTGCAAACACTCTCGCTTCCGGTACTGCCTCCTCCCCAAAGCAGCAGTTTCTCCTCTTTTCCCTCTGCGTTTCATTCGCGACTCGAGCGATAGACTCCAGGAATAAATCGAGATGGGTAACCGTGTTAGTCTGTCTGTAGCAATACAAAACAGCAAGAGTCCAGTAGCACCTTAAAAGACAACAAAATTTGTGGGAGGGTATGAGCTTTGGTGACGAAGTGTGCGTGCACACACGAAAGCACAGAACTGTGTCGGTCTTAAAGGTGTCAGTGGACTCTTAACTTTGTTCTACTGCCACATTTTTGTTAGTCTTTAAGGTGCTACTGGACTCTTGCTCTTTCAAATGTTGTTCAAATCAGCAGGAGGGTAAATCAGCTGAGTAAATATGGGACCCCGTTCGTCCGGAAACGTGTTTCTAGAATTGAAATGCAAAGCAGCAATCCAGACGTCCCCCGTATTGACTAGTAAATCCCGCAGGTTTAAAAGCATCTGGAGGAGAAGGGAAAGGAATTCCCCAGATTTGCATTTTTAAAAGTCAGCGCGGGCGGTGTTCGTTTTTGCAACTATGATTTGGGACAATGAAAAATGAAGGGGAGGGGGAAACCTGCGAGCCTCGTTGGGAATTGTGCATTTCAGAAAGCTACTGCAACAAGAGCAGGTCGGAATATCGAAAGTACCTCATTGAGGGACTCGAAAATGTCCCTCACACGAACATCAGATGGAACAATTCCACAGAAAACGATGTGAGCCAAAGAAAATGGCTGGCGTCTCGTCAACGTGACACACCCCCATGGGGATGCTAATTTTTATGAGCGCGCTCCTCCAACCACTTTGCTTCTTCCGCTGTATGGGCGGGGCTAGGCCAGTGGCCTAAGCATGTGAGGCGAGGGGTGGATTGTTTGCAAACAACTCCAAGCGAGAGGGCGGCTGGTGTGCGGTGACGAGCGAGAGAGCGATGAGTGCTGCGTGCCAGGGTTCTGTTGCTAACAACTTCTGAGTAGGAGGTGGGAAAGGGTGGCTTTCTAACATTTTAAGTAGCTGGCAGTTCAGGTTGGTAGCCATTCTGTTCCTCCCACTGCCGTTGTTGCTGAAGGAAATCGAGCGAAATAAACGCACTCGTTTCTACTCCTGGCTTATGGAGTTTAGT